GCCGGCGCTAGTTCAAGTGACAGACTGGCAGAGTGTGGGGAGGGGGGGGGGGGTGCCCTGCACAACGGCTACCCCAAAGAATTTGTTCAAGCACCCTCAACCTTGTGGTGGAGCCAGAGGGATTGTCCTGACTTCTCGTCTGTTTGCCCCACACCCCTGATTGAAGTTCTGGCACCATCAGAGATGGGGTTGTTAACTTTCTGTCCTTCTGTGTGTAATTGGCGTCTGTCATTTCTGGACAGTGTGCGCTGCTGAGAAATCGGTGCTGCCTTCGCAGACCACCATCTGCGTCTGTGAAGTGACTTTGCTTGGGTGTGTGGGGGTGTGTGTGTGAAGAGAATAAGCCATCAGGAGTTTTATTTCATCTTCGTTGCAACGCCTGTCAGTTGTGCCTCGGCTGCCCCGCCCCCTCTCCCCATCGCCTGGTCCAGCAGTTGTCCTGACCTGCCCCTCTGTGGGCTGCTGTCCTCCCCCAGGTGGTGCGAACCAATCAGTGTGCGGGGGAGTTCGTCATCACCTTCCCCCGCGCCTACCACAGTGGTTTCAACCAGGGCTACAACTTCGCGGAGGCTGTCAACTTCTGTACGGCCGACTGGGTGAGTACGCGCTGCGCGGGCGCCGGGATGTGCGCTACGCTGGCCGGATATGTACGGCGGGTGTCCTGCTCTCCTTCGTTATGTCCGTCCATCCACTTTCTAACCACTTCTTCCGAGCCGGAGCATATCACGGCAGTCAGCAAGCGCAGGCAGGACGCACCCGGGACCAGCCAGCAGTCCCTCGCAGGGCGCACACAGACACACACACACACACTCCCACCAGGGCCAGTGTTCCCAGAAGCCCATTAACCCACCAGCATGTTTTTGGGCTCTGGGAGGAAACCCCCGTGAGCACAGGGAGACCATGCAAGCTCCACACAGACAGCACCCCAGGAATTGACCCTGGGGCCCCAGTGCTGTGAGAGCACAGCTGACCACTGACCACAGCTGATGTACCGCCCTACATCCATTCTATGCATTACCTGTTTTTTGGGATACTGCAGTGTCCAGATTTTGTGCATGAACCGTTGTCCATCTTTTCCCCCCCTCCTTCTGCTTTTCTTCTGCCCCCCCCTCCCCCTCCACTCCAGCTGCCCGCCGGGCGCTCCTGCATCGAGCACTACCGCCGCCTGCGCCGCTACTGCGTGTTCTCCCACGAGGAGCTGACCTGCAAGATGGCCGCCTGCCCCGAGAGGCTGGATCTCAACCTGGC